TTGAAATCGTAGAAAGTCCCATTGATTCCCCACGTGCTAATCACATCCCAGACCCGGAGCTTGATGAGCTTGCTTTATTCATCATTACCCCCAAGCTAGTCCATGTGGCAGCATGGACAACCCAACCTGGATTGGACTTTCGAGGCAGTGCCTATCGCCCGAAGTGTGGCGCACGTATCGTTCCGGGATCTCAGGCGTCAGAGGAACTTCCTCAGGCAGTTCAAATATATAAACACAAAGCGTGTCTTGCAGCACTTCACGTGTTGGAGTAAAAAAAACTGGTTTTTAGTGGCGTACGCTCTCATTTCTTTCAGTCTGCGTATGACAGTTAACATGCTAGTCATACAAGCTTCTCATGCACTTTGGCACGCTTCAGATGTTGTTTAACTTTTGTATTGCTTTCTTTCCTCTACTTAGCCTCAAGCTAAATCGGCTATCTCGTCCTCTGTACCTCGATTCCCTACCATGGATCTCCTCGCTGTGCTTCTGACTTATTGCACCTCCACGGACGGACTTCATAAACCCCACAGCGTTGGATAGATTGGAACTATTGCGTGAATCTTGCAGATCAATTCTGCATGCGTCAGGCCTCTCTCACCTTACCCGCCCTATAGCCGACCTGTGGGTGGCTCTCGAGGCCTATATCAACCACTACGGACTGGTGTATGTCCAGGCCCAAGCAGCCGCGATAGAGATTCCAGTGTCAAGCAGCTCCCCTGCTGCAGCTCCAGCCCCCCTGTGGGCAATCCTTTTTGAGCCGAACTCGGCCGTGCTTCCAGCGGAACTCAGCTCAGCGAGCGGCGTATTGCATGAATTGCAATTGATTGATGACCACCCACTACTTGATTCAGCTCTTCTAGTCATAAGCTCAGTGAGAGGATACTTTGATCCTCCGGTAGTTCCAGCTCATTAGGTATTTTCCAGCTACCTCTATTCAGTGGAAGCTTTTGACTTCCACTTGTGACCAGCAAGGTCGTACTATGGCTTGAAAAGTCATTGCATCGCGTTTTTGTTTGACAGCATGTCAACAAATTGGTTTCCAGTTGTGGAACCTGCGTTCTATCTACAGCTTACGCGATCATCATTGCAGTTGTCAATGATTTAGCTGCTCTTCTATTCCTATTTTGGCTCATTGCCATCCCGCTTTACCCACCAGTTGTGTGGACCTCAGCTGTAAATCTTCTATTTTGAATCAGCATGATTCCAAAAAAACAAGATGGAACCCACGAACCCGAATGCAAACACGATCGAAAAACTAATATGTCCAAAGGACACTCTTGTGGGCCACTCTTGTAGGAAACTCTTGGGGGACACTCTTGTAGGACACTCTTGTAGGACACTCTTATAGGACACTCTCGTGGGACACTCTTGTGGGACACTCTTGTGGGACACTCTTGTGGGACACTCTTGTAGGACACTCTTGTGGGACACTCTTGTGAGACACTCTTGTAGGACACTCTTGTGGGTCACTTGCAGGACACTCTTGTGGGACACTCTTACACGACACTCTTGTAGGACACTCTTGTGGGCCACTCTTGTAGGACACTCTTGTCGGAAACTCTTGTGGGACACTCTTGTGGGACATTATAGGACACTCTTGTGGAACACTCTTGTGGGACACTCTTGTAGGACACTCTTGTGGGAGACTCTTGTAGGACACTCTTGTGGGACACTCTTGTGAGATAATTTTGTGGGACACTCTTGTGGGTCACTTGCAGCACACTCTTGTGGGACACTCTTAGGAAACTCTTGTGGGACACTCTTCTAGGACACTCTTGTGGGACACTCTTGTAGGACACTCTTGTGGGATACTCTTGTCGAACACTCTTAAGGGACACTCTTAAGGGACACTCTTGTGAGACACTCTTGAGCGACACTGTTGCGGGACACTCTTGTGGGACACTCTTGTGGCGCACTCTTGTGGGACACTCTTGTAGAACACTCTTGTGGGACAGTCTTGTAGGACACTCTTGTGGGACACTCTTGTGGGACACTCTTGTGGGACACTCTTGTGGGACACTCTTGTAGGACACTCTTGTAGGACACTCTTGTGGGACACTCTTGTGGGACACTCTTGTGTGACACTCTTGTAGCAAACTCTTGTGGGACACTCTTGTGGGACACTCTTGTGGGACACTCTCACTCTTGCGGGTCACTCTTGTAGGAGACTCTTGTGGGGCACTCTTGTGGGACACGCTGTGGGACACTCTGGTGGGACACTCTTGTAGGATACTCTTGTGGGATCTTGTGGGACACTCTTGTGGGACACTCTTGTAGGACACTCTTCTGGGATTCTCCTGTAGGACACTCTTAAGGGACACTCTTTTGAAACACTCTAGTGGGACACTGTTGCGGGACACTCTTGTGGGACTCTCTTCCAGCTCCCCAGATACTCCGCGTACTAAAGTTGTACTACAAGGTCGCCAGTTCTCAGCTTCCAGCTCCCCAGATACTCCACGTACTACAGTTGTACTACAAGGTCGCCAGTTCTCAGCTGCCAGCTCCACAGATTGCTCCGCGTACTCAGGTTGTACTACAAAGTCGCCAGTTCTCAGCTTCCAGCTCCACAGATTGCTCCGCGTACTAAAGTTGTACTACCAAGTCACCAGTTCTCATCTTCCAGCTCCCCAGATACCCCGCGTACTAAAGTTGTACTACAAAGTCGCCAGTGCTCGCCTGCATTTCGCGCGCTCGACACGCACGATCTCCGCAGAGGGTTGCGCGGGCGCCGGACAAATCGCACTCTCGCCTGCGTTTCGCGCGCTCGACACGCACGATCTCTGCAGAGGGTTGCGCGCGCATGGGACAAATCGCACTCCCGCCTGCATTTCGCGCACTCGACACGCACGATCTCCGCAGAGGGTTGCGCGCGCATGGGACAAATCGCACTCTCGCCTGCATTTCGCGCACTCGACACGCACGATCTCCGCAGAGGGTTTGCGCGCGCATGGGGCAAATCGCACTCTCGCCTGCATTTCGCACACTCGACACGCACGATCTCCGCAGAGGGTTGCGCGTCAAGTCTCCAAAACGAGCGTTTCGTACGAGACTTCCTCAAAAACTCACACGTCAAAGTCTGCAAAACGAGCGTTTCGTACGAGACTTCCTCCAAAAGTCAAGCGGAAACACCCATCGGAGCACACACATCACGCAGCCCTGCCAAGCAGTTTCGCGATTCCAGCCCCTCCAAACAACATCCGCTCACACGCCAATCCCAATGGGACAGCGACATTCACCTCTACCACAACTCACAACCTCACGATTCCCTGCGCCTGCCACGAATCTTTCCCCATCCACACGTCTAACGCGCACAAAGTACTGCGCCTGCCACAAAATGTCACCTCCCTCACACCTCGCAACCTCACGATTCCCTGCGCCTGCCACGAGAATCGCACTTCCACGCTTCAAAGCCCGCACGAAGTCCTGCGCCTGCCACGAAAAGTGACAATATCATCGCGTGTGAGCTTCAACAAAATCTGCACCACACCACACGTTTGGAATGATTTCGACCCGTTCAGGGCACACTCCCATCCACCAAAATCGCCATTTCAGCTGAGACTTGTCACGAAAACAGAGCTTCGATGCCACACCCTGAAACGCAAATCCCAATGGCACGGCCACATCCAACACCCCAAAAACACGACTCTCCAAACGCTAATCCCAATGGAACTGCGGAGGACTCTGCCCATCTCACAAAACGCTGCACCTGTGCAGCGAAACGCATCACGTTTCTCGCGCGACATGTCCTGCTCCTGCAAATCCCAACGGATTAGCGGCGCCAACTGACACGTGACACGTCCATGCAAAGTCACTTGCAAAAGCTTCCCCCAATGGCAGCGAATTTGAGACGCGACGACGACGACAGACGACGACAGACGACGACAGACGACGAGAGACGACGAGAGACGACGAGAGACGACGGGAGACGACGACACGACGCAAGCCATGCAAACACATGTCCAACCCCCACACCCCCAACTATAAACGGGAACCCTGCGCTACGCATTCGGGAAAAAAACAAACGAACCGAACTACGACTTACTCAAGAACGCTTCAATTCATTCTGTCATGATCTTCTTTGGTAGTCATTTTTCATTTTCACTTCTCGTTGAAACATGGCTCGCCCTACATTTGCAGAACTTTTGACAGACCTTCGCATTCCAGAGAATATTCAGCAAGTTCTGCTAGATGAGCAGTATGATACCGAATCCTTTGGATTGGTTGCGTTGTCATTGAATGACTTGGACAGCGTCCTGGATAGCATGAGTTTGGATCTCTCACATCGAGCACGTTCTTCCCTCCGTGTTTTGTGGACACGATGCCAACATTTGCACGCTTCAGGTTCATCGCATTCATCAAGCCTGCTTTCAGGTGACAGCATTGGGCCATTTTCAGGCACTCGCCCAGGTTCATCTTGGAATGAACCTTTTCCCTCGAAGCTTAGCCCGGATCTCATCAGAGAACTGCGTGACAATTTTGAGCGCCAGTACCCGGGAGAACTGTTGGATCCCGATCTCATGCCATCCAGCCGAATGTTAGCACTCACGTATCAGCAGTTGCAGCGCAAAGAATGGAAATGGATTGCATGGAAATACCGCTTAAGTGCTAAATTGCAAGATGAATCTAGCATGATTCGAGCCCGCAAAGCCGCACGCAGTGATCTTACCGCCCTTTCCGACTTGTTGTTGGATGATATACCGGTTCGGGACATCCCTTCATCGAACATCGGCTTGCAGCAGCTTTCCCAATTGTTGCACTTGCAGGCTACCGCAGTGGCCTTCTGTCGGGGAGCACATCTATCCACTCTTAAGAAGTATGTTCATCGCTTCCTTTCACTCGCAAGGCAGCGTTTTGAACCAGACAGTGGTTTACGCCCACCCAATGTTGCTGAACTTCAGTCAGCGGACCAAGTCCTTTGGGGAAAGATTGCAGAATTGTACAATTACAAGCAATGGACCCTGGATGACGCCATTCATGAACTAGTGGAAATCAGAGCAGACATGGCTGCTTTGTTGCAACCCCGTCCATTTCCTTTGACGCCAGCCTCCCAGCTCGTGTTTTTCAAGAAGGTCTGGCAGCTTTTCAAGCGCAACACCATCGGGATACCGCTTCCGAGCAAGAAGAAGTACAGACTTTCCGCAGAAGAGTTGGTACTCCATCGCAACCTTGCCGTGTTGTATTGCCAACTCCTTCCACACTTGAACCTCGGCATCCTGTGTGGATCTTGTGCTAGTTGGAAATAGTTTTTGTGTATATGCACATATTTCGCTATCAATTGGGGATGTGGCCAATGAATTGCACCGCGGACATCCACGGACTGTGTATCAAGAGTCCGTCAATCTTTCCCGGTCAAACTTTTTTCAAGGGTTGCGGCCAAGGAAGACCAAGCTGTCGGCAGATGATGTGGATGCTATGGAGGAGTCCTTTATGGCTGGCACAAACGATGACTTTGCAGCACTTTTGGACACACGGCCTCAGCGCGTTGCTTTGTCGATGCTGAGGAGCCAGAAGGTCAAGGCCATGAAGAGGAACCAAGAGCTTTGGGGTGAGTTTAGCAAAGTTTGTTTTTTCAAGATCTTGCGTTTCTTCTTCAGTGCCGGGTTTTGTCTATTTTTTTCGGGACGCGCCTTAGGAACAGCAAAGCATGATCGTGTCCGAAGTTGCTGAACAGCGAGAAAAAGTCACCGAAGCTCAGTGGAATTACTTCGTGTCAGCGCTGAAGCAGGACCAGACTTCATTGCAGAAGGTGCAGGAGGTTCCACACCGGGTGAAATCACTACTGCATGCCAAAACAGTTCAGCAGCGCAGGCAGCAGGCGGAGGCAGGGCACAAAGCAGTCAGTGGCTATTCTGACCCCTGGATTTAAATTTGCATGAATTTGATTAATTTTGGCCTGATTTTTTTGTTGCGGCTTTGACACCGTTTTCCTTCACTCTCGCACTGACTGATTTTTTGTTGCTTTGACATTCGCTTCTCGATGAATCAGGATGCCTATGTGCGTGTGACTTCAGTGAACAAGATGGACCTCATGATGGGCGAGGTTGCCAAAATGAAGGCATCGATCGTTTCTTGGACACATCAGTCAACTGTCAAGACTTATTGTTTTCCATTTGCTGAATCCACCTTTGAGACGAATGAAATGATACCATACATAGTCTATATCTAATATGCTACAGTCGCAACAGTTGTGGCCCAAGGCGGCTGATGCAGGGTGCTCACAGGACCAGATCGGGGTTCTGTCATGGGCCGACTTCAATTGTCCTTGGGCGAGGACAAAAGAAAACAGCCAGTCCATCCTCAGAGGAATGGCATCGCTGAACGAAGCGAACCCGGCTGGCACAGCAGGCCTGCTGATTCAGCCCGACTCCGCCAGAGACAGCAGTCTTCGGGGATTGTATGACGAGGAGCGTCAACTGTTCGACAGCTTGTTCAGCATGAGCCAAAGCTGCGAAACACGTTTCGTGGAAGTCTTCAGTCGTGAGAGCAAGAAGGCAGAGTCCAAATCAAATGCAAGGAAGTTCGGTTCAGGACGACTGGTGACTTCGTCCTCTTTGATGGACTCTAACGGCTGGCTCGCTTCAGAATTGGCTGTCTACGGGCGCTTCGTCGGGGCGAACGAGAGCAGTGACAGCGTTGCTCCTTTGGCCATTTTGCCAAAAACGGCGAGCTTGCTCATCCCTGAACCGGCAAGTCCAGACCCTATGATTGTTTCAACAGCCTGTTTTGATTGGGTCGCTACAAGTTTCGTGCCCTCGGGTCTTTATTCTTACAGCACACGTCGTGTAAGTGTTGTTTCAATCAACTCGCAATACATTGGTTGTTCGAACCGTTGTTGGTGTCTGGAGCAGTCCAGGACACTGTGCGCATTGCAGACAGGCTCAGACCATCTCATGAACAGGTGGCGGCGCAGAAGGGTGTAATGCGCCTGGAGTTTTTGGTCTCGTCTGTGTTGAAGTACACATCCTTCCCTGCAGTATTGATAGTAAACCTTACTGGCTACGTGGAGGAACTTGCTATTGCAGCCTTTTGTCCTGTCAGCCAGTAATCTTTCCAGTCCAGCTTCTGTCTCACGAAAAAGATGTCAAGATACTGTTCCTTTATTTGCCAACCACATATGATGTAACAGAATGAGCCTGTTAGAAACAAACATGTTTAACACCTGGGTCAGAATCCCACTACTCTCATGCTAAGGTTGCAAACATGAGATGCAAGAAGCCGACATTGGTTGCAGACTGCCCGATGCCAAGTGATAAGCTCTACTACCTGAGCGTCCACACTTTGGACAACATGGAGGGGGTCAAATACGGCAAGAGCAGGGTCCACAGGGAGTTGCTGGACATGTGGCTTGAGAAGAAGTTCACATATGGTGGCCATGGCTTCAACGATCAGTCAGTGGCTCTTACTGAGGAAGCCTCTCGACTACATAAGTCAGCTTTGTTTGCTTGCCATATTCTTCAACTACCCACGGGATCTTCGTGTGACCAAATCAACCAAAATTTGTCAGCCTTCATAACCTTTTCTTTTGTAAGGCTTCGCATTGTATTTTGAGAACAAACATCCAAACAAATGAATGCAAGGAGAAAGCCGGGATCGATTGCTACAAGTACATGAATGATCCTGCCAGCTTGGAACTTCAAGTTCTTGTGAAGAGCGGCTCTGACTTTAAGATCCACCCTGACCAGATGAGGCAGTGGGAGAACGCTGGCCATGTGATTGCTACCAAGCTTCTCGGTTTTTGTTTGAAAGCAAGTTTTGTGGCCCATTCTCGTAGAGATGTAGATAGGTCGGATGCAAATGATAAGTAGTAGACACATGATATAGGCTTAGGGGATCTTAGGGGTTACAATAGAAAATTGATTGGCAAAAAAGAATGATAATAGATGGACCATGGATCGATGAATGGATGGACTACTTGACAACCAATGAAACCAGGACCAACATATGCTAATTAACTGCTAAGTACATTTTGTCAGTATCAAATTGTCCATTTCTTTACCAACAATCTCTGACTGGTGCAGTCACCCAGCCAGGTTTGCGGAGCTAAAGGCTGATCACGAGAAGAATTTTCAGCCTGTGTTGAAGAACATCATTGCCGCGTCAGCCAGTGTCGATCGCGAAGGGCCCGAGGCGGAAGCAGCTGTTGTCCCTGCTGATGGTGGTGGTGAAGGGGAGGACACGGAGCTCAAGTCCTATGGCAGTGTGGAGGAGCTGGAGAAAGATGATGGTCCTTTTGTAGCTCGGTGCATGTCCGAGATTGCTGGTATTGAGGTGATCAAGGGCAAGTCTGAGAAAGTCTACTTGGTCAGTGTTGACAAGCGCCGCATTGTGCCTAAGCACACTTTGCTTGGTGGGTATGGTACTGGCAAGCGCCACGATTATTGAACTAGCAGCAGGTTTTTTTTTTGTTTTGCGTTGCTCAAACCAAAAAACTGACAGGCAACTTAAAATACAACATAAATATGTGCGTATAGTTCATTTCCTGTATATGAAATTTGTGTTATAGATGCATACATATATATTATACTGACTATACATATTATAATCTAATATAATATAATATAATATATATATATATCTATCAAATAGAATATAGAGAACAGGGAACAATGTTGTCCTCTTTGAGGTATCAGCCAGTTGTTCCTGGGGAGCCCTTGGATGAGAAACAAAGCGTTCTGCTGAAATGGGATCTTGGCGACAAAACGCCAATACAGATCGACATGTCGTCCCTCAATCCTGACAGCACTGCCATGGATGTCATGACATGTTACCGCTACTTCACCATGCTGGAGAAGCAGAAGAAGGCGACGCAGTATGAGCTGTCCTACAGCGAGGTGACAAGGCAGGTCGATGCAAGTGGAGACTCCTTCAAGATCCAGTTGAAGAGCCCGCACATGTATCGAACAATGCCGGAATCTTGGCCCAGCTTCTCACTGTCACCTTGTTCTAGATACGTAGGTTCTTGTTTGGGAGTTGATGGTTCACATTGCGATCAAACAGCAGCAATTACCAGTCAATGGCTCAACATGTGTACCTCAGGATCTTTCCAAGCCGTTGACCTGCAAGTCGATCTTTTACAATGTGGCAAAGCAGATTGACAACAGCAAGGCCTTGCTGTGCATCTTCCGGTTCCGTTTCTTGCATAATACCTACGGATACGGGCTAGCCTTGCAGACCTGGAGTTTGCACGTGTTTGCATTTCAGATTCTTTGAGAAATCTTGTTCCCATGGGGTTCCAAGGCTACGACCGTGTGCACGGCGTGACAAAGCTGCAGAAGCCCTATGTGATGTCGCGAGTGGCTCTCACTCTTGAGCAGGGAAAACCCTTGGCCACTTGATTTTCGGAAGACAGTCTTAGCGAGTCATGATTTATCCATTCTCTCGGCCCGTCCTTAGAACAAGTCCATCTATATATATATATATTATATATGTATATCAACTGCTTTCCTCATTTTGAAGCTTCGTGACTGTCGCTTTGTGACTGACACTGTGTATCAAGAGCTTTGTGCTTGATGGCTGGCCAGTCAAGTTGTGATGTTGAAGTTGGAAGTTGTTTTCATTTGATAGGATTAATTTAAAACAACGAGACTTGTAATGTAAGTTGCTGCGCTGGCCAGCTCGATGGCTTGCGATGTGAAGGCTAGGCAGTCTTGACCAAAAACATTCTGGTCTGATGATCACTGTGTGTATTGAACTTCCATCCTTCAACTGTGTGGAGTGATGTCAAGTGGTTTTGCGTCCAAGACGTTTTGCGTGATGTACCATGCTTGTGACTTGTGATCATTTCCATCCAGGGTCAGGTAGGCAGTGGCAGTCGATCTCCAACGCCAATAATGGCTGACTTTCGGGATTCCGCGCGGCTAGAATCTCGGAAATTATTCCGAGGGATATCAGGTGAAGTCGATGATGACTTTGAGACCCCTCCGGTCAGAGAGAGGCCTGCAGAATGGCGCAGTGATCCTCAACAACAACACATTCCGAAGGAGCCGACACCTACTACCAGCACTGGCGCAAAAGAGACAGAGAAACAGATTGAGGTGACTTTCAAGTCTGAGACGAAAGCGGACCAAGACCCCAACGCAATCCAAGGAAGCTTTGCTGCAGCTGCTGCAAAAGAGACACAGACAAAGATTGGGGAGACTCTCGATTCTGGGACGAACTTTGCTGCAGCAGCACCTGCTGCTACTGAGTCACCTCAGACTCACCACAACCCCTGGGCAACTCAAGGGAGTTCTGACGCAGCTGCTGCTGCTGCTGCTCTCAGTGCCAAGCGCAAGGCCTTGGAACCGCAGGAAACTTTTGAACTTTCAGAAGAGGAACCTGAAGAATCACCAGTAAAGAAACGGCCTTCAGCCCTGAGGACTTTCAAAAAGCCAGCTACTACCGCTGCTGCTTCTTCAGAAGTTCTTGAGCCGGTGTTACCAGACAAAAGCAAGCAGAAAGGAAACACCATGAAGCGACCAGCTGCTTCAAAGAATCTTCCTGGTCAGTTCTGTGATTCCGACTGGGAATGGACAGACCTAGATCCCACTCCTGAGGGCCTCCCGCGTCGTGAAGGTGTTTGCGGGGATTGGAAAGTGAGAGAGTTTGTGAGGGGCACAGGTAATTTGCAAGGCACCAAGTGGCGACTTTACGAACACAAAGGTGTCACGCACAAGTCATTGGCAGAGGCTCGAAGAGCCGGCTTCAAAGGGAAGCGTGAGCCTGAGGACATAGACTAGATCCAGGCACTTGTACTGTAATTTTTGCAGCCGGTTGAAAAAAGATTTTGCTGCTGTGGCAAATGATTCCTCCTCCAAGGTTCAAGTTCACTTCTAGGCATTGGGCACCAGCACCTTTTTCAATCTTTTGCAGACCCCATGAGCCCAAGCCGAAGTTCCTGCCTTTCGAGTGCGCGTTGACTTTTGTTCAAATATGTTCAGATGCTTTTAACTTTTAATCTTCTGTGTGTGTGTGCTCAGAGCTGGTAGGTGAGCTGTGCGTCGTATCTCACGAGTTGAGTTTTGCCATCATGGTCCGCGAAGCTGTTGTGTATCGTGCTCATGGAGCTGATGTTTCGAGGGTCATGACGACCCCAAAGGATGAGTTGGCCGGCATCGTGAAAGCGGACTCTTTGTTTTTCAGGTTCAACTCGGTGCATGAGCTGAAGTTGCCAGACCTGGGGGATGTTCTGGTGATGCGAGGTGACACCCGCTTCGTAGCTCAGAAGCAGAATGTGACCCTAGGAGTCTGTTCAATGCCAGTTTTGAAATTTGCTGCTGATCATTTGCTGTGATTTTTGTCGTGGAAGAAGTCCGTTCAACGCACATCTGTTGTCCACCACTTGCCAAGGATCTTGTTTCAGCGCAGCATGGTCATTCACGATGATGACGAAGCTTTCAACATCTTTCAGGGGAAGCCAGTTCCTGGAAGTGGCTGGGAAGATGTTTCCTTTTTTGCTGAAGAGATGGACGTGTACGTGACCTACCTGCTCATTGCTGTGGACAACACCCTTGGCATTGAAGACCGTTCGTTGACCCAGCGAGTTCCGTTCAGGCAGGGCGGAGTTTCCTCTCAGCTCATTGTCATGTGGCAAGTTTTCCTTTCTCATGTGGCAAGTTTTCTTTCCCATGTGGCCTCGATCAGCAGTGCTCGACGCTCGCGCCAGGCAGCGCTGCTCGAACGATGTCCACAGATTGCTGCTCCGCGTGAACCCTGAGAAGTTCGCCCTCTTGAAGCACTTGGCAATGCCGATGTGCAATGACGCTGAGGGAGCCTGAGCCAGATTTGATCTGCCACGACTCTGGCGCCAAGTTTGAAAAATATTGATTGTGGTGGCGGACCGATGCTTGTGTGATATGTTTTGCGACGGTGCTTGGCGTGCTTCCCATGCATTTTGTTCAAGCCCTCAGAAACTAAACATGCAGCCAGGCGCAGACTCCAGTGTGTGAGAAGCCTGAATCTGAGGTGCGGGTTGGAAAGAGAGTTGGAGAAGTTGGAGGGGTGCAAAGAGAAGTTTCTTGTTGAGCGGTTTCTTGCGCAATGTTTTTTTGGCTTTACCTTCAGGTGTGTTTGCCAAAAACTTCCAACTTTAGTTCCGTGTAGTCTTAAATTCTTTTGTAATACACTTCAACTCCAGGCCTTCAAACCACCTTCAATCTTCAAGTTTCCAAGGCAAGGATCTGAAACATCACTGGTCTCAGGAAAGTCCAATAATTAATGAGTGTGTTTTTCCACCAGCGTACGCGAGGCCTTCAACTGAGTGTGAGGGGGGCACGCGCTAAGTGAGGGAGGCACGCGATAAGAGTCAGTGTGAGACCAAGCAAAACATACATAACATATATAACAGAAGGACTTCGGTTGGTGCTGTTCATATTGTGAACGTCAACCTTTGCTGCCTCGTCTCCAGCGGTAAGACTGACATGTGAGACTGTTGTAATTGAGCGTGTTGTTCGTCGTCTCACGTTTTAATTTAAACATATTTGCAGTTATCCCAAAGAACACCTTCCGACTCAAATAACACATACCAGTCCGTCCCTTTCAAGGTGTAGATTCGTATACATGTTCGGCAGTTGCTGAACAACCTTTGTGCACCGACCTGCAGTGTACTTCGGCGACCGCTGTGTGTGGATAGCGCGCTTAAAAAAAGGCAGGATTCCGCTCTTTGTGGCTGTAGGTAGCTGTCTCTTGGGCCAAAGGGTATGTTTGCTTCAAAAAAGATTCACATTGAGGCTTCAAACCAAACACGACGCTGCCACGATGTGGCCAAGACTAAGAACAGTTAAAGAACAGTTTCAAAACTTACAGTCAGTGCTCTTTGCCAAGCACTCTTGAGGACACATTTTCATATTTCCCTATTTTGTTCGACCCATCTTGTAGGACACTCTTGCTTGATACGTTTGGTGGGACGCTCTGATGGACACTCTTGCTTGACACGGACAGTATCACAATCACGGTCAGCCAGGCTTAGGCCACATGCATGGCAGTGCTTAACAGCATCGCATCCCAATCTGCAAAGCTGAGCAGAAGAGTATCGCAATCAGTCTGTCAGCCACAAAGCACATGAATGCGTGTGGTAGCGGAGCAGGACAATAAGATCACAACCACCGCCAGCCAGAAGCGGCTAGTTCCCACTGCAATGCTTAACAGATCGCAACCTGCAAAGCTGAGCAGTGCAGTGTCAGAACCACTTGGCCATGAGGGCAAGTTATTCAAAGCACCCCAGCCCATGAAAGCACCCACTGCCACGAAAGTAGATTAAAGGCAAAGGTAGCCCAAAAGGATCCGGTAAATCGCCCACAAAAGGTATGGCAAAAGGCGCAACATCCACTACACGCCCGGCTTGGGGAACTGAAGTCACACGTGACGGCCAAAAGAAAACGATTTGCTTGAAGTATCAGCAAAAGACGTGTCCCAATCCTAAGGCTTGTAAGTACGAACATGTTTGTGCAGTGTTGAAACCTGATGGCACCGTTTGTGGCCAGAAGCATAGTGCCGCCGACCACAGAGCAGCCCCTTTTTGAAGGGGCCCGGCGTGTTCAGAAAGGGACCAAGACACGTCTAGGGTATCACATGATGTCCCTGCACCTCCTGCTATCGAGCAACCTTCTGTCTCACAACCTTCTGTTGCATGTATCTCACCCACACTGTCCTCAGGTGCTGCCATCATTGTGCCAGGGCCTGACCTGTTTTTGGACATTTGCAGTGGCCCCAGCGCTCCGCTCAGCACCGCTCTTGACCACATGGGTCACGCTACATTAGCGATTGACCTGTTGATTTCACCTGAAATGGACCTTCTCAATGACACGTATTTTGAGAACCTGTTGCGTTTATGTGCTTCGGGCCTTGTTGCCTACTGTGGAGCTAGTCCTCCATGCAGTGAATTTTCACTCCTGAAGCTTCGAACTCCGGGACCCACCCCGGTACGAACGCATGAGTTTCCGTTAGGCATTCCCAACCCAACTCCCACCGAGCAAGACCGGATCAACAGCAGCCGCGAACTCTTGCATCGTGCCGTGTGTTGCTTACAGCACACCTTCGCCGCGGGGGGCCACGGCCACCTTGAATCTCCACCCAACGCGTTTACTTGGTATGATCCCGTGGTCAAATCCTGGGTAAATCAGCAGGCCTGTCATTGTGTAGTTTTGGCAGCATGTCAGTTTTCTTTGAACATTTCAAAGCACTGGATGTTTGCCTGCAGTCATGATTGGTTTGTGGAACATGCCAGTCAGTGTCCTCATTCGGATCATGCTCAGTATGCAGGTATTCAAGATGAGTCGGGCACATACCTCAGCCGCAAAACCGCCGAATATCCCAAAGAGTTGGCTACTATGTTGTCCCACAAATTGAATGCCCACATCGGCCCCCGAATACCAGATTTGACTCTAGAGCATGCACTCAGTTTGATTCCTGTCAAACCCCTTCACGATCCGCCACACGCGTTGCATGACGGTGGTGGACGAGGTAGCCAACCAGGCTGGAGTTTTCCCCCTAATGTCACGGATGTTCTTAAACCCCTTCGTGACAGCTGGATTGCTTTGATTTTGGAACGGAATTTGCGCAAAGAGTTTGTTGCACATATCGAGCAGCAAAGACCTGATCCCCCGTTCTCGGAAGACTGCGTTGAGAAGTTTCGTGAAGCGTTTTCTTCCTGGATTCCAACTGATTGGTCCGTCCGACCTCACCAACCTATGTGCTTGAACGCCCTCCAACATTTGAGCCAGCACGTTCATGACCCGGATTCTCAGGTCTTTTCCTGCTTAATTGCAGGAGTGTCAGCCGGCACCTCGGATGACCCCGATACGTGCCAGTCAGGTGTTTTGGGAACGAGATTTTAGCTCTGATACAGAACCTCCCTCTTTGCAAATCCATCGAGGCAATTGGAAATCTAGCGAAGATCACCCCGATCTCACACGTGAACTCATCCAAAATGAGATCGATCAAGGATGGGTTTTTGAATTTGATGGCGATGAAACTGATGCCCAACAAGCATTCCCCCAAGGAGTTGCCCTGGGTAAATTGGGCATCGCATTTTCTGATTCACGGCCTCCCCGATTGGTACTCGACAGCAGTGTCTGTAACACTAATCAGAATTGCACCATCCCAGAACGCCAGTGCTACCCGTCAGCTCGCGACGTCGTTGAAAGTTTTCCTCTTCGACAGTGTTCGGAGCCTCAGCATGCGGCCACCTTCGACATTAAATCAGCTCATAAGAGAATCGCCCTATCCGAACGCCATCAAGGATGAGTTGGATTCACCTTTCAAGGTCGAATTTTCTTCTATAGGGTTTGCCCCTTTGGAGCTACATTTAGTGCCTTTTGGTGGGGCAGACTCGGATCATGGCTCGTTCGAGTATGGCATCGCCTGATTTGGGTCCAACATGGCTTATGGCTGTTTGTTGACGATTTCCTGCTGACCCAACCAAAGTCCATCCTCCCACTGTTTGCCACTCTGCTTGCAATCTTCTGTCGAGTGTTCCGTATTCCTCTCAGCTGGAGGAAGTGCACCCTTGGGCCCATGGTCGATTGGATCGGATGGCGATTCAATTTCTTCAATGGTCTTGTCAGTCTTCATCCTGAAAAACAAAGCAAACTAATTGCCCAGATAGAGGAACTTCTCAACCATCGTCATTGTTCTAGCAAACAGCTGGAGCGCTTCACGGGCCTTGCGTTGTGGATCACTCAGTTGTTTCTTCCCTTTCGGGCCTTGCTGCACTGGTTGTTCTCAGACCTGCAGACTTGTCCTGCCACCCACTATAGTGTCGGTCCAGGATACTGGACACTAGTGAAGTCGTGTCTCTCTGATGATCTCACCTTCATCAGTACCCCTTCCGGAACTGCGATTCCCAAGAATTCTAAACTGATCTCAGTTCGACACACTCCTGTCCAAACCCTGCAGGAAGCAGAAGCAGTTAGATTGACAGACAGACGATTGTGGCTTCGTATCGTAAATCCTAGTTCGCACCAAAGAAAACTGTCTGTTCACAGTCGTCGTGTACTGAAGTTATGGCTTCAATGGTTAACAGTCTCAACTCCTCTTCGAACCATGCGCCCATCCTTTCAGGCACCCATTCAAGCAGCCGCCGACGCCTCTGCCCAAGGGGACTTGTTTCAAGTCGGCGGTTTTGTTGCCTCCAAGCAACGAATCTTTTGGTTCGCTGAGCAGTGGCATGTCCATGAGATTAAGAAGTTCGACGTCCCGGTTCGACCAGAAGCCCAGCGTGATATTGCATGTTATGAAACACTCGCCCAAGCATTTCTTGTACTTTTGTGCGTAGCATTGTGTCCTCACGCATGCGTTCCCCTGCACTTTAAGAGTCTCAGCGGTAATGCTGCTGCAGAGGCTAGTGGTAACAAGCTCTTTACCACATCAGCCCCGTTGTGCTATTTTGTCGAACATTTAGCACATATCATAGTCTCGGCGCGAGTCACCTGTGATATCTCGCACATCCCCGGAAGTTTGAACCAAGACGCTGATCTCCTCAGCCGCTGGAATTTTCATGATCCCTTGCCCGTCAAATTCACAGCGGACACGAGGCATCGAATGAGCCTCGAACATTTCTTCTCGTTTCACCGGGGAGCCCAGATTCATCCGGAGACCTTTCCGGTTCAATGGTCGCTCGGTCACCATTGACATCTGCACTTTTCATTCCACTGCCACTCAGAGCGCCTAGGGAGACCTTTACCGAGTGTTGTTGGAATGCTGCTTGGTGATAATTGTCCCAACAACCTCTGAAGCAACTTTTGGCAGTGAGAAAAGTGTGTTGGGCATCTAGTCTTGCTTGAGAGCGTAACCCTTTCCCTGAACATTGTAACATCTCTAGAACGTACGATGTGATCTTCACATGTTGTTTTGTGATGTTTCATGTTCTGTGTGCCATTTTGGTTCTAGAGTACAATGTTCAGCCCACCCTCCACACCCTTGATTATGCTCTCAACATTTTCCAACCGTCAGCGGCGACCTAGGCTGGAAAGCTTCACAACTGAAGCGTAGCCGAAACCTGGCTTACAGCCTTAGATACCCAGCGGGTTTCATTTGGAAGTGATGGTCTAACTATCTTTTTATGCTTGACGTCTTTCACGCTTTTCTTTCAGGCGTTTTGACCACCTTAGACCGTCATTTCTGAAGTGCGGAGTACTCTTGGCCTGAAGTCAAGAGTTGTTGGTGATAATTGTCCCAACAACCTCTGGCAGTGAGAAAAGTGTGTTGGGCATCTAGTCTTGCTTGAGAGCGTAACCCTTTCCCTGAACATTGTAACATCTCTAGAACTCTTGAAACTCGATTGGAAGCTGGATTTCATCTCCTGCCAAGGTAACTAGCATGAGTTGGTAGGTGGTAGCTGCTTCGGTGCCAACTGGCGTGCTGGCTTGCGAAGGACTTCTAGCGGCCATGGGCAGAACCGACTAGTTACCGCATTGCCAGGGACTTACGCTTGAGCCAAAGCCATGTGCAGATCGTTCGTGGTTGGAGCGCTTGCGCCACCCAATTTCCATCCCAGGGGTTCTCAGGCTTTTATCGTGGGCACGTTGGTGATGGTGTCACAATTTGAGGAGCTTTCAGGCTTTCAGGTTCAGACTACCCGGATGAGTTGAATTCAGCAACTTTGATTCGTGGTGCAGAAGCCTCGGTCACACAGCATGTGCAGTTGACCATCAAAGAGAGTACAACCTATAAGGAGATCAAAGATGCAATTCTGTCACATCCTGAAGTCAGTGAACCTAAACCGGCCAGGTGATCCCATGCCTTTAATGGACCTACGCCGATGGAAGTTGATCGCCTCATGGAAGAGAAAGGCAAGAGCTAAGGAAAAGGTAAGTACAAGAGCAAGTCAAAGTCATGGTGAAACTCCATTCCTTTCGGCGGCAAAGGACCTGGTCGAGGCAAAGGCAGAGGCTTTGGTCGTGGTAAAGGAAATGGCAAACAGAAAGGAAAGAAAGGACAGAAGGGCAAAGGAAAGACGAAGAGCGGTAAAGGTAAGACGTTGGACCAAAATCAATGCAGAGTATGTCACGGGTTTGGTCACTGGTCAAGCGATTGTCCTCAGAGAGTGCAACAGGTGACTGAGTTGAACAATCCTGCATTGATGCAGACTGCAATTCAAGTGCCGGTGCAACCAAGAACACCAGCAACAGGTTCAGTGGCAAGTGGACAAACAGTATCGACAACAAGCAGTACACTGAACACAGCAGTCAGGCGGATTTTTCACATTGGTCTTCCCTCAGAGAGCACCAAGCCGCATTAGAAACATCTAGGTAGACCTCGCCTCGTTTAAGTGTATACGCTGTGTGTGCACCTAAGATTGCGACAGGTTTCACTGAACCTTGAACAAACTTTGGCCGCTGCGACCACCTCATGGCATGAAGCCTACGTCCGCTGCGGACACGTTCTGGCATGCTACAAGGGGGCCCGAGAGGTAATGTCAAGTCATCACTGCAGGTACGCCAGACTGATCAGGTCTGGTATCCCCACCAATTGCAAGTGTCTTCGTTGGCAGGAGACTTGCAATGGTGCTCCTGCCCCCTGCTTTATACAAACTCAAGCAAAACGTAACAATCCTAATGGACCCCTGTGACTCCAAGGGTTACACACGCACACACAGACTTTCGCACGTTCCACTTATTTGCCAGTCCCTCCTTCTGCTCTCCCCCCTTTTTCAACCATACTTTACAACTTTACATGTTCTGTTGCACGCTCGATGAAGGCTTGACATGTGGGGTTTTCCGGGTTTCTATTTGGTGTTTTTGTTCGTCGTGGTCATATCATGAAATGTTCTTCCATTTTGTTTGGCGCAAAATCGCGTTTCCGGACGAGCAATATTGCCACTCCACATCTATACAGGCCAATACTTTTTGTCGAGTTGCGGTTTTGGTGGTACTTTTATGTTCTGTTTTTCTACATTCAGTTTTGGAGTGTTGTTGAGCAAAGAGGTTGACTGGTGCGTAGCTATGCGTTTTTGTGCAGTATGTTGTTTTTCATCCCGCTTTGCAACTTCTATATTCATTGGGTTTGATTTGGAAGGGTTTTTCAGGCCGAGGCATTTTCTATTACCCCCTTCCATTTGCAACAGTTCAACTTGTGCACTTGTGATCGGTGTGTTTCCAAGAGGATGAACATTGCTTGCAGCATTGGCACAAGAGACATCCCATAGTCCTTCAGCATTCTGTGGAGCACAGTTCGAAGCTGTGCGCACAGTTTGTCCGGAACTTGGTTTTTGTGCAGCAGAGGACCGTTCCAACCACAAAAATACAACTTCACCATTGTTCATGGATCATCGTGCTGCGAATCATGCTGTCAAAACGCATAGAAAACCCCATGTTCACCCCAAACAGTACAACGAGGCCATCTTGGGAAACAACCTTTTTGCACGCAAAGAAAACAGGTGAACTGAGGCTATGGTCAAAGAGTTGTTATCAAAGGATTGACTGTGGACATTGGGGCCTTATTAAATCATGTCTGGAAAGACAACCGGTATCCATGTTTTGCATGGTGACCACTCAAATGTTTTGTTTCTGAGGCTGATCAACTGGTCCAGAAGGCAGGACAATCGAACCTGTTGGCAGAGAGTGGGTGGTCTGTATTGGTTCGCTGGTTACAGAAAGGGAAAGAGAGAAGAGAAGGGGAGAGAGAAAGAGAGAGAGAGAGAGAGACAGAAAGAGAGGGACAGAAAAGGAAAGGGAGCGAAAGAGAAAGAGAGAGAGAGAGAGAGAAAAAAAAGAGAGAAAAAGAGAGAGCAAGAGAGAAAAGGAGATAGAGAGAGAGAGAGAGAGAAAGAGAGAGAAAGAGAGAGAAAGAGAGAGAAAGAGAGAGAAAGAGAGAGAAAGAGAGAGAAAGAGAGAGAAAAACAGAGAAATACATATTAAACAAAACAGAGAGTGAGAGACAGCAAGAGAGAAAATGAGAGGGACAGTGAGAGAGAAAACAAGAGAGAATGTAACAGAAAACGTGACAGAGTAAGAGAGAAAGAGAGAGAAACAGAGAAAGAGAGAATGAAAGAATGAGAGAAAGAGGGAAAGAGGGAAAGACTGAAAGAGGGAAAGAGAGAAAGACACACCCACAGAGAGGGAGAGAGAGTGACGGAGAGAGAAAGAGAGTGAAAAAGAGAGAGAAGGCAAGTGAATGAGATAGTTCGATTCAGTCCAGTTGGTTGGCAGGTGATGGGCGTGAATGAGTGAATATGTGAATGAGTGAATGAATGAGTGAATGAGTGAATGAGTGAGTGAGTAAGTGAGGGATAAGGTGGGGGTAAGTGAATGAGTTAGTTCGTGAGATTGCATAAACTTTGATTCTGCATCACAGGTTGAATACAAAGCAGTCGTTCACCAGCCTTGTTTATGCAGGACCCATGGCTAGTCCATGTCTATTTGTTTGCAGGTTCGCCGAAAAGATATTAAATGCCCAAGATCATTGCCGACATCGATCTTTTGCTCACCAATGCTATGATACCGATGACGGGGGGAAAAACATACAGTTTGAGTGTCTTCGACCCGCACCCATTTTTTGAAGAGCTTGCAAGGCTGCACTTTTCAGCGCAATGAATCCACAAGATCAGGCGCGATCTGCCCAAAAGATAAGGTGGGATCTTCCGCACATATCATTTGTAAGTAAGAAAGATCCTTGTTTTGTTCTTATCTTGGAGGCACGACACATGTTTGTTTACATGGCTTTCTTCCTTTGGTACTTGTTTTGACCCTGCCAAATTGGAATGTCCTCCCATTTGCGAAGACGTGGAGTTCCGGTGAGGGGCGTCCCCTTGTTCGCCGGTCGCCTTGGTGGAACTCGAGGCCAACAACCCTTACTACCAACAATGGGGAATGTCCGGTGCGGTCTGCCACTGAGTGCTTGTGATCGATTGTGCTAGCGGATTGGTATGGTGGAATATATTTTTGAGGATTGACAGTGCAAGTACCCGGTGCTTGACCTTGTTCAGAGACTAAACACCAGTGATTGCAGAGATACCAAGCTTGTTTTTGTCAGTCTAGATTGACCTTGCATGATGTGAAAGGAGCAAGACAGAGCCTAGGCAATGCAGAATATGCAAAACATGCAGGAGGCGATGGGTGGGTTCGTGGGCGGGGCAAGAAAACCATAGATTCCGCAGAAAGAAAGGTTCTCCCTCCTGGGTCACAGAAGACCTGTGAATTGTCCGGCTTTTGGCTGGGTCGTTGCAGATCAATAGCTTCCAGAAAATCGAACAACTCGTAACTCGGTGACCAATTGAAGAGTGCTTCGTTTCTCATGGTTTTTGGGCCTGCAAAACACTTCCGTTCTTTCATTGGGGATGTCCTGAGAGTCCGCCAGGCCATGCAAGGCCAAGGCATGGGCTATGGAATGTCGCAGCCTAAAGATGTGGAAGTTGAGGGTCATGAGGGTCATGAGGACGAGGAAGGCAGTCTCTGGTAGTCTCGGGCAGGTTTAAACCACGTCACGAAAAGTCTGAAGGTAGTGGTTCATTGGTGTGTGCTCATTTGTTGAGGCTGGAATGGGGAGACTGAGAATGCTCCTCTGAAACCCATCTGTAATGCTCCTTCTTACCAGGAATCAACCGATGTCTGCCGAAGCCGTTTCTTCAAGAACCGCCCCCGATTTTGATCCCTCTCCCCTTCGCATCTCAAGACGCCATGTCCACTGCTCCTTCCAAACGTGGCCGCTTGACGTATGGAGCCGGACTAGGAGGCAGTCCCCGAAATCCCCACCGGCCTCCCAAATGAACCGAATAGACAGATTCATTCCGATTGAATCAACGAAACCAATGGTTCTGCAAGGAGTTGACAAAGAACCCTCGATGATGTCTGCACAGCTTCAGCACAGCTTTATCAAAATGAAGGGCTGCTCAACCGGGGATGATGTCAATCTCAAAAATACACTGGGCTCAATCAGCCACCAATGGAGACGCTTCGGCCTTTTAGGACCTTTGAAGACATCAGGTCTTTTGGGAGGAATCGAGGCACAGGTCTTTTGGCCAAGGGTTTACGTCCAGGTCTTCTGGTGGCGGGCCTCACCAGCGCCGTTGCCGCTCCTCTCTTTGTGACGCCCAGCGGCGCTGCAGGCGGTGTTTCACGATTCACCAATCCTGGGGATGTGGAGGGTGGTTCTTCCAGGCAACACAGGAACGAACATCACACTGAATTGGCCAAGGTGACATCGTGGAATGGGAGAACACTGGGGTAGACTTAGAACCGAGAGATCTCCGCGACTTTGGGAAGAAGGGCAATAGACCAAAATCCCTTCGGCCAGAGGGTCTCTCTATTTCAATAGACCTCACGATCCCAGTCGTGCACATCCCAAATGTTGGTTGATTCGCGATCTCGCGGTCTGCTCTCTTGTCTGGTGGCCATGCCTGAAGATTGGACACATAGCTTCAGCTTGCGGAGCATGACAAGTTCATTTGAAGAACAGTGACTTCTTCAGGTGCTTGATGATGGTGTTTCCATGATGAAGACGTCTCAGGCTTCTTTAGTGTGAGTTTCTTCTTGAAAAACATATCCAGCTTTTCCAGGTGCCTCTGCACCCGTGCGCTCTCATGCCGCCGGGGTGGCCTCCGAATTCGCCTTCAACGGCGCCTCAGCGCCCGGAGTCTCTGCTGTGGCCATGACCATGCTGGGCGCGTTTGCTGTGGCGGGTGCCCGGCGCAAGAGCAAGGTGCCCGGCTGTCCTAGGGGCTCCTGGAGTCCTAGATGAGAACATTTGGATGAGCAGAAGCTACTAGTAACAAAGGGCATCGCTAAGAAGTTTGTGCAGAAGGCCTTTCTTGGGTCTTAGTCTCTTCCATGCTCCTCGAGCACGTGGAACAAGCCCCCATGGATGGAACCCATCAACTCATCAAACTTTGGTGGTTGCTTAAACCTTTTGGCGGCAGGTGCTGCGGCACTCCGCCGAGACGTTCCAGCAGCAGGCGATGCAGTATCCATCAGCCTATGAAGACATCGCTGAGGTGAACAAGAAGGAGATGATTTGATGGTGAAATCCATTTCCATTCCATGAAATATCCTCTCAACAAGCTGGGTCACCAGAGGGTTTTCTCCGGAACTCCTTCTTTTTCAGGAGATGCAGTTGGGGACACATCAAACTGGGCTTGGGATGCTTGGGCTTCGCACTCACAGTCCAAGATTTGGTTGAAACACATTGGGAGATTCCAGTTCCCCCAAACCTGTAGGGCCGCTTCGGACGCGCCGCGGCGCCCCGTGCGTGTCCGGTGCGACGAGAGGAGAAGAAGGCCGACATCATCTGCACCATTGGACCCAAGTCATGGGACCCCGAGGTGCCCAAGCGGTCTGGAGGGGACACACTTCGGTTGGTCCGGACGAAGACCACGACGAAGCGTTGGAGAACGTGGAGACTGGGGGCCTAAGAAAAGAAGGAGGAACACGATCGAGCGATGAGGGTTTTGAGGTGTAGAGATGACGAGAAACCTGGTGGATTGTAGTGATTGCAATGATCAACGGTTTTGATTGAGATATAATATACTTCCAGCCTGAGTGCAGCCTAACAGGTGTTGGTCAAGCTGATGAAAGCAGGCATGAACGTGATCCGATGCAACATGTCTCATGGCGATCACGAGGACACCCGTATGGCAGGGCAAGATGTGAAGTCTGAGCTCTTTGGTCAGGGAACTTGCAGCTTTGGGAGTAAAGCTCTGATGTTGCGATTTGCTGCAGGTTCCTCTTGAGAAATGGCAGTGCCTTTTGAGACGCAGGAGCAGAGCATGAAGCTGGCAAATTTGGAGAAGGCTTACGAGCTGGCTCCAGAGTTCAAGGGAAAGATGAAGGCCTGCCATGGCTGAGCGAACGGGGAGCGGGGGCGGTAGGTTGCTGGTTTTTTCGAGACGTGTGGAAGTCGGTCCGGCCCAGTGTGAGAGGAAGGTGGGCCGTTCCGTGTTTTGCTCAACAGGTACTCTTCCGACAAATCACTCCAAGCTACCCAAGAGATCGGCCAGCGGGAGATGGATCATAAACGGTTCACCGTCCTCCATCCCCCGTTTGAGTGGTTCCTCCCCTCGCAGTGGTGCGCTTCTTTCGCTTTGTGACCCTATACGAGCCTGGAGTCTGGTCTTCCTATACGACACACTCCCTCTAGGTGCCACGATACGCAAGGAAGGATTGACGATTGTTTTGTTGGATTTCTTCCGCTCTCGGCGTCTTCCGGGTTGCGGTGCCGCGGCACGCGATGCGGGGTTGCGGTGCCGCTGAGATCTTGATGGACACCCGTGGCCCTGAGATTCGCACTGGGACCTTCGAGGCAGGGAGAGCTGGGATACTTTTTATTTTGCCTTTTTGAGAAGAGAAAATATCAAAGAGGGCAATTGTTCTTTTTCTTTTTTGCATCATTCTTTTGGGCGAGAAGAGGGGAACAAAGCTGTGTCCCAGCTCTACAGGAACATTAGGGAGGCTCCAAAGCCCTTGGCGCATTTCATGCAATTGTGACTGGATTGGAATTCCATTTTTGAGGTCTACAATTCCAAAAAGGAGTTGAAAGCCGGCCAGGCCAGGGTTTTTAGCTTGAAAACGACCGCAGACGAGTCAATCACCTGGGTCGATTGCCGCAGGAGCCAGGAGTTTGTGAAAGATAGGGAAGATCATCAATCAAATCTTGCTGGAGCACTGGTGCTACTAGTAACAAGAAGCTACTAGTAACAAAGGGCATCGCTACTAGGAGCAAGGACACCACACTACTAGTAGATCCTGGCATTACTACTAGGAGCTTCCAGCTTCCTTTTCCTTTCACCTGGAACTCCTCCAGTTTTCGAGAATCCACGGGTGCTGAAGCTCTTCTGAGGGAGGGATACACCCCAAACCCTTCCTGACGTGCCGGGGTTTTGCTGACTCTCACTCACTCCCCTCCCTCCCTGCCGCCCGCTCGTTCCAACTGTCAGGACTTCAAGCTGGTGACGGACTACGAGCAGAAGGCCCTAAGGGTGATCACGAAGATCGGCAGAATCTTCTTCCCTAGGTCCTGGGACTCCTAGGACTCTGAATCAAGCCAAAATCACTTTTGGTCATAGCCGTCATAGCCCAAACCCACAACGTCAGACGGTTTATTTGGCCACCCCATCTCGAGTGTGCGGCCTTCAGATGGGGAGATGGGATTCTTCAGATGTGCGGGAAAAGGCGAACAACAGGGACTCATCGACCCACCCTATGTTTTGAGAGGCTTTGAGGGGGGCACTCCATTCCTGCAAATAACCATGCGAAGGGGCACACTGGGTCAAAGGCTTTTCGCATCGGCTTGACGCTCACAACCACACAAAACAGTCATGAGTCATGAGTCATGAGTAAGCACCTCCAATTGTTTGTTTGCCACGGGTCTGCGTAGTGGCGAGGACGGCATAATCATTGCCATTCCAGATGGCCCGATTTTCAGATGGCCCCGTTCCACTAGAACAACTTGAGCAGCTAGACATCCCAATCATGAGAGATGATTCTCCACTTGACTTTGAGAGCTGGTGCCTCACTGGCTCGATCAATCCGTCCACCACTTCTCGGCGGAAGAAGCCGCCGACTCCAGGGTGATGAGACCATGGTGGCCATCACCTACGCGCAGTTGCCCAAGAGCGTCAAGAAGGGTCAGCGCATTCTCGTCCAGGAGCGGCAGGTTTGGATTCCTTGTCCTTCGTTTCAGGTCTGCCAGATTCATGATGCATGTGTCAGTAGAGGTCCATATATTTACACTACCATTTGATCGCGGTTTCTGGTTGTACAGCATGGCAGCATGGCTATGGTCCAATGGTGTTGTTTGGCTGGGTGTGTTTATTTTCTTCGGATCGGTTCTGTTAATCACATGTTGCAAAGTTGCAGGATGGCACGGTGATTCTCATCGTCGAGGAATGCGGTGATGACTATGTCATGTGCAAGGTTGGCAAGGGCAGATGTGTGGCAACTGTAGCATTCAACCGTTGATTGCAGACATTTTCTGACCGATAGGATGTCCAAAGTTGGACAGCAGAACCGCTGGGATGCTGATTCTTGACACGATGTGGAATGAAAGGATTTGGCTATTTAGATATTTGATGGTATTTGCCTGAAGGCTTGTTTTCTTCACTGGATCATGCCTAAGAAGCCGCATGCTGTGGCTGTCAAAGATATACTGGATATACTGTGTATATATATATATATATGAATGGTATTGTATATGTATACTGTCTGATATACTGTATATAAATTCAAAACATGTATATACGGTCTGATATACTGTATATATAACGTATGTCTATAAGGGTGTTTGGGTATGATCCCTGGTCTTGAAGGATCTCACTTGCCAGCTCCGTTGCCAGGTGGTGAACAACTGCAAGCTGGGTGAGAAGAAGAACGTGAACGTCCCAGGCAGAACGTGAGTGAATGCCCGAGGGGGGTGGTGCAGATCATGCCAAGTCCCAGCTGGGGTTGTCAGCAATGCCTCAAGCTTTGGGTTTGTCGACCCCCATGGAACCTCCACCAAGGCTTGCATTTTCATCCATTCTAGATGTCACCTGGGAGGGTGTGTTCACGATCAGTCACGCTGTTGAAGCAGCACATCCTGTTCGGACTGATCTCGCGGTGCACAGGTGTCAAAGTCGAGATTCCCGTGGTGGGCGAGCGTGAGATCAAGGACGACTCCCAAACTCAGGGTGGAGGAGTGCAGGTGCAAAATTTGGAGCACTGCAGGTCTACACATGCGTGGTATAGATGTTTCGGGTATCCTTTTGGACCATGTTCTTCTTGACTGGCAGCAAAGCAATTAGGGTTTCTCCAGAATCTGGACGTATCACATCGCATCACGATTAACAGACCTCTTGGGGCTCCACGCTAGGACATCGCGGACTGGGCGGTGCCCAATGATGCTGACTACATCGCCCTGAGCTTCGTGCAGAGCTTTGGCAAGGGGCTGTTGGCTTTGGTGTTAACGAGTGTCTTTGTCCGTTGAAATTTGTTGAACGCCCACGCGGAGATGCTAGGAATCCTGTCATGAGGCCATAGGTTGTCATAGGCATGCAAGTTGACTGGGAAGGTGCCTCCCCGCGCGCCGGGAATCGCCTTCTGCACGAGCGAAAGAAGTCCCACTATGCCCTCCAACCTATTAGCCACTGGAACCTACTAGCGATGGCCTCCAACCACCCTCCAACCTACTAGCGATGGCCCCAAGAATCGTGATACATCAGACATCAGACTGGATTCCCAGGAGCGCACAGGACGTGAAGGACTGCAGGAAGCACTTCAATGGCAAGGACATCAAGGCGGTCTCGTTGAGGGGAAGCCGGTGAGTGCATTTGTCCGAAGAAATGATGAGTTTGTGCACTGAGAGAGCTGAAGATTTCAAGAAAATCTTGAAGATGATTTCACCGGCTTTCACCCAAGTCTACAAACATGTTCAGTCCAGGGGTCTTTTTGCCATGGGTTTTACCCATGACCTCCAACCAAACACCCCAAACACCTGGCCATTCCGCCCCATCAGATTTGGAGCGGCGAACCGGTGGCCAGGTCATCTCGAAGATTGAGAACGTCGAAGGGCTGAAGCGCGCGGGTTTTCAGGGCCGGAGGGCTGAAGGGGTCTGTGGAAAGCTCGGCAAAGGGTCAGATCTGGCACAGGGCAGTTATTCTTTTGTGTTTATTTGGTTGTAGCAAGAGGCTGTGGAAAAAACAACACATTTGGTGAATTTTCTGATCATGGCTGGCATAAGCTGCATTGAGTTGGCGGAATGAGCCTCTTCGCCACCAACTGGCCCAACTGCAAGGTTTGGACTCTGGTGTATTTCTGTACGATGGACTGCAGGTCCATCTCCAGAGCAGAAGGTCATGGACATATTTGTTCCATATATATATAATCCCATTCAATGTATTGTGTGAATCAATTCCTAGGGTCAGAAGGTCACAGAGGATGCACAGGTGTGAGTTTGAGTTTCACATGGTGTCAGGAACTTCGAAGAGAACCGACCTCAGTGGGAACGAAGTGGGTGGGCTTGGGTGGGAATCGAATGGGCTAAAAGAAGAAGATCCAAAGCGCCTGGTCCACGGAGAGTTCGACTGTATGTCCAGCGCCCTACGCCCCTAGGATCCTGGAGGAGTCCGATGGCATCATGGTGGCTCGAGGTGACCTGGGCATGGAGATCCCCATGGAAAAGGTCTGGATGGCGCAGAAGATGATGCTCAAGAAGACCAAGGCGCCAGAAGCCTCCTCATGCAGGTAGTTGACAGTTCCTGGCTTCGCCCCTTTTCGCTCGTTGGTTGTTTGCAGCTCTTGGATTTGTTGCGTTGTGGAGGTTTGATGAAACGTTGCACCACCCTGACAGTCTAAAAGTTTATATTTTGGACGATCTCCTAGAATTCTCCTTTGACAGATTCCATGAGAGTGTGGCCCGTGGGGAGGAGCCCCGATCGTGGGTTGGACAAGTTTGGTGGTGGAACCATCTTAGGAATCTTGGAAGGGGTACGGTATCTCTCTCTCTCTCTATAATATATATATATATAGAAAACGCTTGACCACCACTGTTACACTGTTCGCACCCGAGATTTTGGGAATCTATTTGTGTGGCCACAAGTCTGGTGGAGAGGTTCCCTTCTGCAAAGAGAGGACGGACCAAGCTTCTTTGGCTGTTGGTTCATCACATCCCTTCAGGGTTCCTCCTAAGACTCTGTCCCTTTTTGGGATTTTTTGGGCCCCACCAGCAGGTCGCCGCATCATTGGTGCCCTCTTCGGTCTGCGATCTGTCGATGTGCGTAAGCCGTGCCCCAGGCCGCTGGCAAGTATGCGGTCTGTGCCACCGAGATGTTGGCGTCCATGGAAGACAAGCCTTTCCCCACGCGTCGCTCGCCCGGATTCTTTCTCAAAAGCGTGCTGCGTTCCCGCCGCGGCGGGGAGGTGAGATGGTAGACGTCCTTCAGTCTGATTTGGGACCATGGCACCATCCTTTTTTGACAGGTCTTGGCCCGGATGGTCTTGGAGTCTCAGGCCATCTTGGGCCGTTTCCGCCGCACCGACGTTCCTGCCCAGGCGCCGAGGCCTGCGACGTGGCGAACGCCATTTTGGACGGTGCCGATGCGGTGATGTTGAGCAGCGAGAGCGCCATGGGCAAGCCACGTGGAAGAAAGAGCCACGTGGGGGTGGAGACGATGGGGGCGTTTTTTTACATTCATGCTTGGTCAGACGAGTGGCTCGAATCTTCTTGAGCACCTGGGAGCCTGGAATCTTCCAATCAAACAGCTTCTCTTCCCTGGAATTGTTGAGTTCCCAGAAAGTTCCAGTTGCATTCCTAATTTTTGTGAGGTTCCCCGTGGAGACCGTGAACACCATGAGGAGAATCGTTGAGGAGGCTGAGCATGCTCTTGTTCAGGAGCCAGTTCCTGCCTGAGACTGCAACTAGTCTCACTGAAGCTGGAAGACCAATGAGTTTGTCTCCAGCCAGAAATTCTCGTTGCCTCCAAACACATGACTGCTTTGGTTGAGCGATATGCGTTTAGATGGACTACTTGGAATGAAGCTTCAAGCGGATGGTTTTGACAAGTCTGTGGCAACATTTCGGGGCTCCTTTTCCTTTCGGCCATGGCAGCACTGCCAACATGGCCCAACTTTCCGCCGCCAGCGAATCAGCCTGGCTCCTTTGAAAAAAAGGCGAAGCATCCGAGAAATCGCGCCGCAATGGAATGAAAAAACGCTGCCACCTTTGAGACAATGCTTCTCATATCACGAGGATCCCAGATACGTCCTAGCCACCTTTGAAGCTATTCCAGGTTGTTTGTCAACGGTGGACCTCTTCACACCGCCGATCCCCAGCCATTCCCGGGTGCGAGCCTCTTTTCTCGTCGTTGTCTTGCCTCGTTGTGACGTCGTCATGTGACCTCGTTGGGAGACGCACCCGATGCCACACCCGCGCAGCTGGGCTGCCAACTCTGGCCCTGGTGCTGTTTGACTTGCCCAACTCTGAAGTGCTTTCAGTAGAGAACTGCGTTTGCGACCGATGTGGTGACCACTCGCACCCAAACCCGGAGCTCTCAAGACGGCTGGCGCGAGGAGCCCCTCAGCCGTGAAAGTGTCCAAGTGTCTTTCCCGATTCGCTACAGTGCTGATCTGCCACGTTGTGACTGCTGTCTGCACCTGTCTGTTGTTTGCTCATTTTACCAGCAGAAAAAAACAAACCCGGGCCTGGCCGTGCTGGGGGCCGTGGAGCACTATGTTGCACCGAAAAGCCGCCACCAGCGCACGATGAGTGTCGAAACCAGCGGAACACAGGGAACAACAAGCCAGGACTTCCAGGGGCAGTTCTCACCTGGCTTTCGGTGTCAGGATCGAAAGCCGTTTGTGGCTTTGATTGGCTTGTCGTCGATGCACGGAGATGGTCATACTTGTAAGTCTGAGTACTTGTCGCCTCTCTGAATGTATTCCTATGTATTGGGTCTGTCCTATTACCTATTAGCTTTTACTAACTATCAGGATGATGATGATCATCATCATCAACAAATCCACTGTCAATTACTGATAATAGGATAGTTCCAAGCTATATATGTAAAGATTATAAAGAGGTTATATAGATTTTTTTTCAAAGTGTGGCAGCGGAATTGGTAGCGCCGTCGTAGGCGAGTGTGTGGGAACAAAGCCGCAGGCCTCAGGCTTTTCAGCTTCACACCTTCGAGGCTTTTCAAGGAAGTTGTCTCGTTTGGAAGTTCAGTGGAAGTGAAGCCAGCAACGCCAAGTCACGTTGCTTGTGTAATGGGGAGTTCGGTGTGTACCTGCCAAGACTATGCCCGGTATGTAGAGGTGGTGGATAGGTGAGGCTTCGCCAATGTTGCCTCCCTGACTTGGACGCCACTGACGCCTTTCCTCACTCACCTGACTCCAAACTGATGCGAAGCCCCACGGGTGCCACCGATCTCTGGCCTTTGCCAGATCGCATGGGAGCGGCGTGCCGATGGAGAAACGCAAAATCTCCAGAGATGTGGCGTGGCACAGACTTGGGCAGCTTGTGCATCCTGCTACACAGGCTTGCTTGTACGTGGTTTGAGTTCCCTGTATGTACGTTACCGCAGATGCTGACAACATTTATATATGTATACATATAAATGAGGTCATGCGAGTTCAGAAGCGGCAAGGCGATGACTATCATTCATTCGCTACCTGCGGAAAGCATTCGTCTCAGACATGTCGTTGCCAAACCACACGAAATGGCGAGGAACAACAGCAACAACAGCAACAACAACAAGGTACAAACAAAAACTGCAGCCCCGTTATAACATATCTTCTTCCTTTGTCTCTACACGGGGGTGGAAACAAAAACTGCAGCCTCGCCGTTGTTTTTTGACCCCCCAATCGAAAACAACCAGCCAACGAGTACTTTTACCAGTAGTGTTTGTGCTAGTGCTAGGCCTAGTGGTAGTACTAGCAGTAATCGTCGTCGTAGTAATAGTCGTAGTCGTTTAGTAGTAGTAGTTTAGTAGTAGTAGTAGTAGTAGTCGTAGTAGTGGCAGTAGTTGTAGTAGTAGTAGTAGTAGGTAGTAGGTAGTAGGTAGTAGGTAGTAGGTAGTAGGTAGT